CTCTTTAAACGTCGGAAAAATCAATTTCGAACATGTTATTTAAGAGTAACTTCGCAGACGAATGTTGCAGCTATTAACCGGACGTAGACGGATCGGCGGTTGTTTACTACAGCAAGGCTTTTTGCCAACTGTCATTTCTCTTTGGGTTAACCTTTCACCCTCCCATTGTGTATTGACCGATGACTTGAGGGAAGATCCATGAGGCTTTTCCTGCTTATTTCATTGCTGAATAATTAATCTACTGTTACGAAGCGCAAAAACTTGAACACGTGTTAAAATTTAATGCCTTCTCACTCAATTTAATTTAGTAATTATTTTCGTCTCATTGAAACTAGAAGTTATTTTCTTTAAAGTCCCTTTAGATAACTCACTAGTTCCTCTTCCAATAACCTGAATAATTCATGCATGAGGCGGTTGTTTCTAGGGTCAAAAGGTACAGATTTAAATTATAATTGCAATAATAATTTTTTTATTTACTGATATTTGAAATCGTATCTTTGCTATTATCATTGGGTAGGTATAATGTTTAATTGATTGTGGTTCATAGGATCCCTTAGTTGGTAACATCCCTCCAAAGTTAGAATCACTATTTTGTTTCCAATTTTCCAAAAACAATTTCAGTTTCATAACTTTCTTGGGTATTTTGCACTGTGGTTCCTCTAACTCCATTTGAATGCTCCGTCAAAAAATAAATTATTTTATGAAACTAAAAAAGTTTTCTACTTCTACGGTAATGTTACTACTGATTTATTTATTTGTAATTTAAGTTCTATATTGCCTAAAGGTATTTTAATGGATATATTTGTAATTGTTTATGAAAAAAAAAATTGTTTCTATACTATTCCATTCTATTAGAAATTGGAATTATCAAATATGTGTGTTATGGATTTGGTAAAAAGTAAAAAGTAACACCAGGGCTTACCTTTGTCATTTTGTTCTGCATCCTTCGTTCGTCTTAGTTCGTTTAGTACTCGTGTATTTGAAATCCGAGGAAATGGACGAATAAGGATTAGCCCTCAATGCAAGATTCCTCTTTGGGATTGCATGGTTGGAAGAACATAGTTCATGCTGTAAATTGTTCAGAACTCGGATCCTTTTGAATTATCGTAAGAAGAATATACTCAGGAAGTTCTGATGAAGGAGCGGAACATATCTTTGTTCAGTTGTTCAAGAAGCCGGAAAGCGGCCCCACATGAAAGCGACAACTGACGGAAACTGATCTAGGAGTTGATAGCTGAGAGTTTGGGAGAGGGTTTATCTTCTACAAGGAATGAATAAGTTTGAATCCCTTGAGTATCACATTGAATTAAATTTTGTTTTATATAAAAAATATGTAAATTGTACATGTATATTAACTTGCACCTACATTTGGCAATTTCGTTTTGATTAAGTTATAAAATATATTTTTTTTTATCGATGGAAATTTAATTAAAATAAAATATTTTTAATAGAATTTTGTAACAAATTTCTATTAGGCACAAGGCATACTTAAAAGACTTCCTGAGTTTCATTGTTTTCTAAAATTAGTCATCAAAAACATACACTTCAACGATTCTTTTATTTCTAGTATAATTCTTTTTGTAATAATTTAGGCATGTTCACCTTTTCAGTTCATATGCAAAGGGTAATTAAGACATCTTATCATTGAAATATCGTCTGTGACAAGGATCCAGTTACCGAACTAGTAGATTTATAAATAGGATATGTGTATTAACAATGGCGGATTCAGGAATGTTTTAGGTGAGGGGGGAGGGGGGGGGCTTAGTTGAGAACATGTGAATTCCATACACCGAAGATGTTATATATATATATGAAAAGAAATGAGTATTTTAGTTTTTTTGTTTGGTCTAGTATTTTGCCATAAAATGGCGGTTCAAATTCTTAACGTCTAAGAACTTATAACACGATATTTTATGCATATTTGTTCCACTAATTCAATTAAAAATAGTTTTCATGGGATCAGAACACTCTAGCAACTACTTTCAGCTGTAATATTCAGCTATTTCGCTAATAAATGATCAATTTTAGGTGTAAATATTCAAACTTTTTCAGTTGGAGTAGAAGATAGAAACACTTTATTTTCATAAAAATATAAAATATAAAACATTGCTGCCCAATTATATTGGGTTGCTATATACACAGCATACTCTTTAATCCTTAAGAAAATAAATGAACTTATATATAAATATACAGAAGTGTTAGTTTATATTAGTAATATATATATATATATATATATTAATATATATATATATATATATAGATTTTTTTTCTCCATTTCATTGATAATGCTTTTTTTTTCCTTTTCTTTTTAACATTTAGTTTTTCTTTCTCTCACTTCTCTCTCTTCATTTCTATTGTTTTCAATTTTTCATTAAATAAATAAAGTAAAACTCTCAGGCTAACCATGCTCGTGGTGGTGAATGATTCCCAGGGAGTCGAGGACTATATTTTCAGCAAACGTCGCTACGTCCTTAATGTCGACACCTAGTTCCTTGAGGAAGCTCCTTGTTCTTTTTGAAATTGTTCCTCGAGAACCATAAATAATAATTATTTGTATAATACAATTTACTTTTCAATTAAAATAATAATAATATAAGGGCCGGTTGCTTAGATACATTTTTCAAGATAAAAATTTTACTTACTTCCCAGGAAGGGGGAGGACGCAGCATAGCGTATACACTGACAAGATATAATAATTTGAATTGAAAGTTATTTAAACGAGTATACAAGTAATATTAGAAATTTTAATTAAAGTGTACGTAATTTTTCACTAATTTTACAAAACAATGGTGTTAAGAAAGTAATAGTTCCCCTAAATATTAGCCACCTAAAAAGGACCTTGCAATTAACCTCCATACTTTCATCATATTTGTAATTAGTAATATACATGCAAGTTAACGTTTCAAGACAATAATCCCCCATCTTTAGAACCATTAAAACCATTCTTTGCTAAAATTAGTGAATTATAAAACCACTTTGATTGTACTCTACAATATTTTTATTTTAATTCTTTATATAGTAATTATTTAGATATGTTTTTTAAAATACAAAAGATGAATCATCTTTTAAATCAATGAAATTACTGTCATAATACGTTAAAGATATATCTTCACGTTCCCAGCAGACTATTCCTATTAAAACTGGACAAGTCCGATATTTTAGGTTTATTGGACGAAAAAGTTCGAGCTAAATTACTAATAATGTTACTTTTTTCCATAAATTTATGTATTTTCAAATTTAGTAGAACACCATATAGAGATGATTTTTTTTTTTCTACTTTAATATAACCACGGAATATATCTCAATTATTATTATTATAAAGAGTTAAAATAGAATATTTTAAAGTGTGGTTAAAGTGTTTTTATTGTGCATTAAATTTAATAATGAACGGTTCTAAAGATAGGGATTGTTGCTCCGAAGCATTAAACAGCATTTATTACTAATAAAAAATATGACGAAAGTACGGAGGTCAACTGAAATAGTAAAAATCTGATGAAGATTTAATATGGCTTTCTGCTATATTTGAAAATACAATAAAATAATAATTGAACTTCTGAAAGTCTTGTAATAAGTTGTGGACCTCATATGTACTTACAGCTGCTTGCTGACAAATTTGAAAAATACAATATTTTTTGAAATTGAAAAATACGACAAACTTTACGATATACTTATTTTAACTGTTTATATCAATTCATATATCAAGATCATATTATATTACGAGTTATTTAAGGCGATCAATAAGTTGGTTATTACAGCCTTGAGCTGTTGTGTTATTTTTAATTTGTCTTCATGAATGTATAAATTTACAATTATATTTGGAGGTTGATATAATTTTATTCACATATATTATATGTAGCTGGGAGTGGGGTAGATCAGTGGTAGGGTACTGAGCTTCCAATGCTGAAGGTCCCAGGTTCGAATCCCGGCTTATGGCAGAAAAATTATTTATTCTGTTTCATTGGCCGTGAGGCGACCTTGGGTACGTAGACTCTTCATGAGTTGTAGTGGTACAATTTTATATATATATATATATATATATATATATATATGTAGTTATATTCAATATACATTTTAATATGTAATATGGCCTACAACTAATTCATAGTTTCTTTTCATGTATTGCATTAATTCTTATATTTTATAATGCAATTGTGTTTCTTTTAAAAGCTTTATTATATATCTCCTGAGTCCTTTAATGCTAGTTCTCTACAACGGGATATTTTGTTTTCTACAAAGGGTTGATGTAGTAGTGTACAATCTTCTATTATATGCTTTATGGTTAGCGGGGACTGTGGGGGCAGGTATCATAATATGGTTGGCTCTCTTTTGTGTTAAAATGAGCATGAGTCAGGTTAGTATGACCAGTTCTCATCCTTGTAACTGCCGCTTCTTCTCTTCTGTTTCCTCTTCCTGCACTTACCCACTGATTTCTACTTTAAAAAAAATATTTTTAAGTATATTAGTCGGTGGAATTTCTTCCCATGTGGACCGCTAATTTTTACGTACTCCATCTTTTAGCAATGTTTTCATATCACTATGCTCGTATGTTTAGAGAGGTGGGATATTCATATATGATGTTCATATATATCTTTATATCGATGCATCGAACAAATTTATTTCATATTCAAACAACTTCAATCTAGTGTGGTTTTTAATTATGTTATATTTAATTATGTTAACGCCCTTTCACTCTTCGGAGAATTTTTTTTTTACTAGTCACCAATATACTATGAGTATATTGAGAACATTACCTCATTAAGGAATGAAAATTACCATGGTATCCTAAATAACGTTTTGTCCTCACTACTTCATTTTTGGTTTCTATTATTTAAACATTCAATTTATCTTCGCTGATTTTTAAACTAGTGTATTAGGTCTTAAATTATATCTCGTCCTTCGAACTAGAAAAGTTCCTCAAGTGTTCCCCGTTGTTTTTAAAACAACTTTCCAGACAGGACTTTTTCTGTGTGGCAATAAAACCGATGGTTAGAAGGGGATATCTAAACTTTCCCCGCACGCTGTTTTTCCCCATCGCCTTTTTTCGTCTCCTTAATCTCGACAACTGATGATGGCGGAGTTATGACGCCATGGTAAAGTATGTCGGGAGGGGACCGCTGGAGAACTGGAGAAGAGAGGTCGATAGAAAGACCTTTACTATCTCCAGTGAAGGACGGGGTCGGAGTGATAAATTGTTGCGGGAAGGTAGCTCCTATTGCAACCAGTCCCTTTGTCTTCTCTTCTCTGTATATTGCATTTATCATGTTTTTTATTTCTTTACTGGGTTTATGCCTCTTGTCCTGGAGTTAAAACATAATAATTCGTGAGCCGGGGTGAAAAAAGTTGACTTAATATAGAGGTGAAAAAGTTTTAACTTGACATTTAAACATAGAGGTTCATAATACGTCCTAGCAAGAATAGAATATTATATTTTATCCTACATTGCTATTTTAAAGTGGGCAGTCTATGCATTCTAACAAGGCAAAATTCAATGTAAATGAATTGAATGACCAAAAAAAAAAAGATTATAGTTCGCTAAAAGAATATTATTTATTTAAAACAATATTTATTGATCACATTATTAAATGATTAACCTACTTTTTCAAATAAGAAATCACGTTGCTAAAATATGAATCTCTTTATATTGAGCTCAGAGACTGGATTCAAGTGGTTGATATAGGGTGATGAAGTTACGACGTTTACAGTGCCTATCAGCGATAAAATAAATAATACGAGGTTTGTGTTATTTTTATAGTTTTAATGAGTTTTGATAAATATTACTGAAAGTCGGTTGGAGAATAGATTGAATTTTATTGAAGAAAAATAATACGATATACCACAATCTAGGGCATTGAGTATCATGGTTCTTTGCTTACATTCATATATTTTATATAAAAATTGAAATATAAATTGAGTCAAAAAAATAAAATAAGAAAAAAACATGTAAGTAAAAATATATACATTAAAATAGAAAACTTTTAAAAAGAAAAACTTGTAAAAAGAAAAAAAAAAGGTACATTGAAACAATAGTGAAGAAGGAGAAAAAATAAAAAATGTTGTCACACATTCATTCCCATGCACAATATTTACATTTAGCCTTGGGAACTCTGAACTAGTGTTGCCCAAAATAGGTCTTCGACTTTGCAAGATCAAGTCCAAGGCCGCCTAACTGTGGCAAGACCAAAAGACCATGACTGGTAAAAAAAATCGATTTATTAAATAAAAACTAAGGCAAAATAGTTACTAATACTTGACAATCTTATTTACTATATGTTAATAATTGGCGTAACCAATATACTTTTGCATTTAACTCCTCTAATTTTTCATTCGGGCTGAGTTAGGTTTCTCCATCTAAAAAATTACATTAATATCTCTATAGCAATAAGCTAGTAAGTAACTGCAAGACTGTTGAGAAACTCTTGCGCGCAAGACCAAGACCATGACCAAGACTGATTTTGCAAGACCAAGACTCGTTTGGTCTCGCATTTGGGCAACACTACTCTGAACCATGCCTTGCCGCTCTCATGTGAAAGGCAAGAAAGGACTCTATGAAATCCCAGCGATTCTCTCCCAGCCACATCACTGTTTAAAATTGAAAGTCATAAATGTCTTCTTTAAGGTTTAGATCTATTAAAAATGCGCTTCGAAGAATAGCCCGATTTTGCTAGAAGATTATTTGTAGACATAATAAGTAGGGTGGTTCGTAATAATGGTGTAAGACCCTCACCAGATTTTTTGATATAAATTTGCAAAAAAAACAACAACGAATTAAACGATGAACTCTGACTGTTATTTTCCCTTGTAATTACCCAAAATGTTTTTAAAACTGCAACTTTACATAAATTTATTTATGAAATTAAACATTACAAATTAAACATATTATATATATATATATATATATATATATATATTATATATATATATATATTTTATATATATATATATATATATATACAGAGTATGTTTATCTATTGTCAGCTTGTTTGTTCTTTTTCCGATTTATTATAAATAATTATATGATAATTAAATCAAGCTTTCACCGATTTAAGATCATGAAATTCAAATTCCTTGGAAAAGATGATAATTACGAAAATAAATATTCATTGCACGCTACCACTCGCAGATTAATCGAACATCCTCAATCTAGCAGTAATTTTATTTAAATAAACAAATCAGAGATGAATTTGAATAAATGCTATCAATGAATGGTTGTTTTTTTTCCCTCATTCACCAAGTTCTGCATTTATCAACTATAATACGGCGCAGAAACTCTAGAAATAATATAGAAACTAAACTATATTCGAGGAGATAATCTCTAAAGAATAAAAACTTATACAAATAAAGATTATACAGCTCTGGCCAAAAACAAAATAACCTATGTCTAATCTGCATATACATTATAAAAAATTAGCACTTCCAAGTCAAATTCTCCTATTTTCAATAAAACATAAAAATAAACCTGCAAAGGATTAGTTTTAAACTTGTCATATATGTTTTATAAGTCTTTTATTGTCTAAGAACTTCATAGCTTTGGTAATGATTTCTTCTTGATTTCTCGAAAGCGTAGTCAAAAAATGGTGTCGATCATATGATTGAGTGGACTCATATCAATTATTATTACTATTCAGAATTTTTCGATATAACATTTCTAATTCATATACTTTTGTTAATTTTATATTTTCTGTATATATGGTGTGAATATGTTCGTATATCCCTATAATTATTGTCTACGAGACAGATTATTATATGTCTAAATAAATAAATAAAACTAAAAGTCATATACTACATTTCCGAAGTCAGATTAAATTTTTTTCGCGTCATATTCAACTATTTCCAAGACAAATTACACATTTTCTAAACTAAATTTAACCTTTTCCATTTCGAATTCAACTGTTGATGTTGTTTTTTTTTCAATATAAAAATCTATGATGGATCTTTATATTGGATGGATTTATATAGAAACATTTCGAAGAAAAAGGCTAAATCGGAAAATGGGTCCTTATATCGAAAAATTTCGTCTTGAAATTAATTTAATATGACTTGGAAATGTTAAATTGAAAAATTGTGAAAAGAAACCATAAAATTTATTTATGAATTTTTTAAAATTTTATTATTATATTTATTCAAAAATATTACAATTTGTCACAATTAAGGACATTTATAATAGTGTTCAGAGAGCACATTCACACTCTTTTTACAATAAATAACACAGAAACTAATAATAATAAAAGTAAATGTACATAATCAAAACAAATAAAGTAATTAAAATAACAACTAAACACATGCATACTATACCACTTCGGCGGTACATATACTATAATTGGAACGATATGAAAATTAATCATAAAATCGATAGCATTTTTGAAGAAAAACAACACCTTCGTTGACCTAATGTTTTATCCTTCTTTCGAAACGTTGCAATAAATCGAAAGTTGAATTTGATTTAGAAGAAGCAAAATGTGACATAGTGATGCTATATATAAACAAAAAAATAAAATCAACTATAGAATAAATATAGATGATGTTTACAGACAAGAAGAAATAATAATAAACAATAAATTAAGTGATAAAATAGAAACTACTAAAAAAAATTATTGTGAAATATAGTGAAGTTTCGTTAACTTGGAATCCTGCAAGTAATAGAAATAAAGTAATAATAAGAAAAATATTTGAACATTTTTTATTATTATGCACCTATTGCTTATACTAGCTGCTCTGCAAGAATTCTTCCTCCTTTTTAAATTACGTAATAATTTTATACCACAGATTATCAGCTAAATATATGTTTAAATTAAATTTTAAGGTTTTTCCCTCTTTGGTCCACTGTACGAAACGCGAGAAGGCGCTTCTTATCTAAGTCCATTGCGTTCCACTCTTCCGGGTATTAAGAAATACCTGGAAGTCAAAAAGCCTCTTGGGACATTTTAATGTGCGTTACAAGACTTTGTTCTTTGATATCAACGGTTTAATTATAAATTAATTTCCGATATTGCGTTTTGTGATAATAATAATCGAGTAATTAATATTGCCAAAATATTTTTTTGGCGTTCACATAGGAAATGAGGTTCTTTTTTATATTTTATCTGAGTGGTCTGAAATCCCTCATCTGAAGTCGTCTGAATGATTTAGGAGCTGTCTTTAAAAACTTGATAACGTCGAAAGTATTTTGATTGGTACTTAAAAGAAAAGCAATATATATGATTGAATTCTTTCTTAGATCTCCTTTCTCTCGAAGAGCTTATTTTTCTTTCTGCAACTTCCCTTGCTCCCTTCCATGACGCCATATGGCCGGGGTACCCTAGAACTCTCCATGTGGTCAGAGTGGAGACCGCATGCTGTTGCCTGGTAACGGGAAATGTCGATCTCTCATTGCCTTGGCCCCCCTTCTCATGACAAATTGCCCATGTTCTCAACTTATAGACCCAATTCACAACTATACCAAGATGTTCCTCTTTACCTTTTTTTAAAAAAAGTTTACATTATTATTTTAATATAAAAGGATTCCACTCCTTGCTACATTGTTTTATTGACTAATCCATGTGTTAAAATGTAATTTAATTAATAGAAACACAAATTAATAAGCCAAATTGGACCTTTCGATATATTTCTAAAACTTTGTGAGTTGCTTATTTCCAAAGTGAACCGTACTCGATTCGTTTTTAAGATCGAAATAAGTATCGATTCCTATGTAAAAATACTCAATGAATCTGATAGTGCTGTAATTTTTTTTTTTCAAAAACGAACCTGAATATTTAAAAACATTGTATGATAATAAATTTATTTCTAAAACCGGCCTTCAAATGTAATTTAATTAATGCATTTCTCGAGTATTCTTAAGAATTATTGAAGGAATTTTACCGATTCTTCTATATATCGTAGGTGATAAATAGTCAGGATGCAGTCCTTTTTAAGATTTCTATTGGTGCCATAGCGTTCTGTCTATTTATTACCCATTCTTAAGAAAAAAATTATTAAAAGATTTTTTTTTTACAATAAAAATTAAAAATAAATTTATTTTATTGTTGCATTATTGACAACCAATAAAGTACCTGTAATAGATAGGTTTTAAGTCATTAACAGATAATTAGCTTTGTACGATAAAAAGAAAGTGCAAATATGAGTAGATTTACAGTTAAAACACTTAGGTGAGTGATAGTTGATTTTTTAATGAAACTTGGGTTGTTTTTTTTTTTTTTTCAGGGAAGTTTACTAATAAATTTTCTTTAGGAGATAAGTTTGAAATATTGTTTCATTCATCTGTATGATATATCATAGTTTAAAACTGTGCAAAATTTATTTATTTTTTAATTATATAAATACCTATTTATCCCAATAAACCGAGTGTCTGATACTGGTGCTAAATATGGTGTCAGAATTTCTTGTATTTTTCATTAATAATTAACTAATTTACTGTATATGAAAAAAAGGCTAAATTTGCTCTCAATTGAAACCATTTGCAAAGATTCACCGTCTGTGGTTCACATTAATGTCTATTACCTTGGTTATTTTTTTAAAGTAACATTTTAATAAAATTCTTCCTCCTCAATCATACACCATTTTTTCTTCCAAACCAAACACCAATCAATCTTTTTTTGTTCTTCTTATTGATTTAGTCCGTGGTACAGATCCCTTTTTATCAAATTGATAACATCCATCTGAAGCTTCATAAATAGCTTTATCTCATCGTAATCTGCAAATATTTTATTCACGAAAAATCTCGTAATTGGAGCGTTTTCAATCTGAAGATCGCCAAACTTTTTCTATTTAATTATTTACTAAAAACTCGTAAATACTCATTTGTTTTCCACTTGAATCGTAAGATAATTTGACCCCAAAATCGAGGAAAAAGGAGACCAACAAAAATATTGGATCGTTTGGATGACCTGCACTCCCAACAGTTCAAAATAACGAGGTTATATAGGCCAAACGGCCACCAAATTTGTAGGCCATTTGGTTTTTAGTACCTAATTAAATAAACAAACTTCTTCAGATTGAAAACGCCCTAATTCCGAGGGTTTTCGTAAATAAAATAGTTTTAGGTTACGTTGAGGGCCTCATCTCATTTACGAAGTTTCGGGTGGATATTAAAAATTTGATAAAAAATGGTCCGTACCACGGACTAATATGTTAGTTATCTGTTTAATGTTTACCACTATGGTGTTGTGGTCTCTCTCTTCTTGAACTTGAAGTCAAGCGGTCATTTCATTTCCGGATTCTATCTATTCTCCCTTATGAGGTCTACACATACTAGAACAGTTAAGTAGCGTTTAAAGCTTGCAAACTAAAATTAAGTTTGTGAGGGATTACTTATCGCATATGGGGGAGTCAGTGTTTCCTTTCTCTCCACATATTGTTTTGGAAAGTTAGATTTATTTAAACTTTATAATTGCTCTCCCAAGTTTACAAATAATCTTATCTACACTACTGCGTTATGTACACCGCGATGTTTATCATTATTTTACTTCCTTTAAATATAGTCCTCTTCTACCGACATGCGGCTTTACTCTATAAAAACGCCCATCAATGTTATAGGTATTGTGCAACTTTTAACTGAAAACTTGCTCAAATTTTGAAAAAAGAAATGTGATCCTTCAAGGAGATTGATCTCTCGTTTAATCCGAAAGACCGTGCAAAAAAAAAAAACGACATTATCTTATAAACTGTCGATAGCATTATTTTGAATATTTGTATTTTACTATTTACCGTTCTATAATTTCTAAAATTAGATTAAATTCTGAAAGAATTCTTAAATTTTATGACTATAACAATTTTTCCGTTGGTGAATATTCAGTTTTACATATCTAAATCCAAATATGCAAGTCAAAAAAGTAAAAACTTTTCCGAAAAAGCAACAGTTTTCCCACATTTTTCTCAATGAGTTTTCCATTTCGATCCTCAAGTTACTGGTCTATTATTCTTCAAATCAGTCGCCATTTTTACATGTAGCAAGATCCGACTGGCAGACTCTCGTTTTGTAAATATAAATGCTAAAAAAATTGAAAAAATGCTTTCAAAATTTTCATCATATAATGTCGATTTTTCGCTCAGGCTCTCGAACTATTTCTTCTGTTAACTTATTTTCCGCTTTGATCTTACTCGTCCGTGACTCGATCGTTGTAACTGAACCAACTATCTCATTCTGTCTTAGTTCTTTGATATTTACATTCCGAATTCTTTTTCATCCATGATTAATTACCTCCTTGCATTGGTCATCTTCCGAAAGATTGTTTTTTACTGCGTAGTGTTGTCTGTTGAGTAATATTTGTAGCCTTTTTAATATTCGCTTGTATTGAGCGATTCGACTATACATGAATCTTGGAAGCTTTGTGTATTGCATGAAACCTATATGACTGATTACCAGTATATTACATACATATTACATTCATAATATATTATAGTATATATCACAGGTGGGGAACCGCTGCCTCCGTGACGTAGCGGCCTCTAAACGTTTTTGCGGTCTTCATTAATCTTCATTAATTTTGAGAATAAATATAATTAAGTTGAATGAATGTATTGTATGGTCGGTATTTACTTATTAATAAAAATAGCAACAGTAAAATATACACTATTGCTGCAGCCTCCAATATCACTACCTAACTCACTTCGTAATCATAAAAATGTTCCCCATCTATGGTATATAATACACAAATTATATAATAATATACACAGTAAATATAGAATGGCATAAGAATAATTTTCTTCCCAAAGAATTAATACTCCGAAATAATAGCTATATAATAACATTAAATTAATTTAATTTAATGATTATATAATTTGATTTAATAATTAATTTAAGAAATTAAAGAACGTTAAATGGTAAAATATAAATATTCAAAATAATCCTTTTGGAATTTATAGTTAATAATAATTAGTAATCCGAAATAATAGCTATGTAATAACATACCTAATATTTCGGATTATTAATTTCTTTTAGTTATTTTGGAATAAAATTATTATCATACCATTCAATATTTTTATTCTCTTATCCATTCTCTCGCGTAACCATTCATTTCATTTCATTCGACCATGTTGCTATTTTTATTTTAGCTCATTTGGATAAAAAAAAAAAAAGGTTAATACTTGAACACCCTCAGTGTTCAAACCACGCCCTAAAGATGACCCACATGTTTGGGTAGAAACGTTGGCACAAATAAAAAATTAAATAAAAAAAAATACTGAATATTTATCACTTATAATGAAAAAAAAAAGAAAGCGTGTATTGTGTTTGTGATTCCTTGACTGCTAGGCAATTTTCCACAAAATTCTTGTAATAACGTCAACACTATTTCATACACTGTCGATATATGTTTTATATTATTTATTCATTTTAGTTTTTTATCAGCACGCATAGATGCAATTACTCTTTTCAATGATATGTTTCTTAACCTAACATTTGCATATCCTAAATTGGGCATTGCCAACAAATTCTTTGTTTCTAGTTTTAAAAATATAGATAGAAATGTTATGAGTACTTATTGCTAAATAATCCATCAGTTAAAAATTACCACCAACCTCGTTTATTATTTTTCAACGATTATGAAGACTATCTGAAATCTGTTTATTTTTACTACCTTCTGATCGTAATAACGCTTGTTGTAATTACCTTATTTGGTAAATACTTTTTGAGTCGGTCGTGCTGTTTTTCAATTGTTCATGAATTAGTTTTCATACTCCTAGATTTGAAAAGGTTTCTACAAAGATCGCACCTGTGCACTTCTCAGCAATGGAATCCGCGAAGTGAAACTCCTCCACATGGAACGAGAAAGTAGACAATGCCATTGTGGTGGTACTGTCCTATGGAGTTGTGTAGAAAGCTACTTATTTTGGGGGGAGTTGTGTGGATGGAGAACTCTCAGAATATATGTAACTATCAGCAACGGAAAATTTATTATACAAATTTAAAATTTATTCCGTTTTGATAATAGTTTTTAGGGAGCACATATACGCTTTATGTACATAAAGTAAAAATAATATAACTAAACCTAAATGTATAGAAAAAAAAATTAAACTATAATAAAAATAATTTAAATACAAACATACTTTCATACGATATTTACAAAAATTCATTCATTCAGTGGGGCTCCGAACCCCACTCGCGGAAGGAAAGGCAGGAATCTAGGAGATTTCAGCGCCTCCCACTCAGCCGCATTACTGGTATTAAGGAGGCTGAGCAGAGGCTCTATAACCAAACATGCAATAAAAAATAAATATATTTATAAAAATATAACAATTCAATTAGGATTAGGATGGTTTTAGAATTCTACGCCTCAAATATAGGCCACTTGTGAACCCAACTAAACTGTTTTGTAGATTATGAGCTTCTTAAGTAAAGATTAGACGAAGGTTTATTTGTGGGTGTAGCTCAACCATAATTCGTGATACCAGCGAGTTCCTTTTCAATTTAAGTCGGCTCTTCCCATTTACTATCTTATCTCCACTTCGACTCTGGTTTTTCACATATCCTGTAGGACCCATAATGGTATATATTACGACATATTTCAAGATTCGATTCTTGCACAGCTATTATACGTTTCAAGACGTACAAGTTAGCAAACGCTTTATTTTGATTGTATTTATGTATTATATTTATTTATGTATTTATTGATTACATAATAAGTACATCGTCTTAAGATTTGTTCCTAAACCTATAAATCTACGTATCATAAAAAACATATATGCTTGATTAGTAGAGTCATTTCCAGTACTTGAGCTTGACTGTTCCGATGGGCCTGTTAAGTTGTTAATTAAGATGAATCAAGAATTATAAAAAGTAGTTTCATCTGGGCAGTCTCATTTATGTTCAATGGGTTGATTGAGACGTAAACGGACGGATTTCATCTTCAAATCAAATTTTAATTGTATTGAAGTTCAATTGGAGGGCGAGATTTATGACTCTTAACATTAGTGTTTTCTTAACCTCAACGATCATCCATAAAAAAAATATATTGTTTAAAAAATGATAATAATAATAAAAGGCTTAGCGAACCCGAAGGTTCGATGCCGACACCGCCAATCGCTTATTACACACCTCCCTCCACCGTTCGCCGTCCAAACCCAGTCCCTTCAGATCGGCTTTAATGCAATCTTCACACCTTCGCTTCGGTCTATCCCTCGGACGCTTATTGTAAGTATAATAACTTTCTAAATTCATATCTTAGATTTTTTTATGTTTCACAAAAAGGCCAATTATTAAGATTCTTCTTCTTCTTTGTCTTCCTCTTATGCCATTAATTAGCGTCGAGGAGCCTCAACCAGTGCAGCCACTCTTCCCGGTCCCTGCTTAGTCGCTTCATCTCATTAAGGGTTTTGCCTCTTTTACATCCAATCCTTTGAATGTAATCCTGGAACGTGAGTCTGGGGCGTCCGCGTGGTCTCCTTCCTGTGGGTCGAGCCTCTAATATCCTTATAGGATTCAAATTCTCATTCATGCGGCAGACGTGTCCAAACCACTGGAGTTGCCGTCTTTCTAAAGTAGTTTTAAGTTCGGCAACTCCTAGCTGCTCTCTAATGCTTTCATTCCTAATGCGATCCCTTCTAGTTCTGCCAACAGATCTGCGAAGAACCTCATTTCTGCTGCCGTTGTGCGACTAGAGTGCCTGTCTAGCATTGTCCAGCTTTCTCCGCCGTAGGTGAGTGTAGGTAGGTAAACAGACTTATATACGTGCATTTTGGTCTTCTTGTCTACTTCGCGATGGCCGATAATGCTATTAGTAGTCTGGTAATATACCTGATTCGCCTTACATATTCTACTTGATATTTCGGCGTCTATCTTACCAGAACTACTAATTACGGTCCCCAGGTAGGTATATTCAGTCACCACCTCAAGTGTCTCGCCATTGCAGATCAGCTGAACATCTTCTCGCTCTTCCCTCGTCATAACCAGCACTTTACTCTTGAAGGTGTTAATTTGCATCCCTTTCCTGAGCAACTCTTCCACCCACTCTACCAAAGCTTTTTGTAGTTTGGTCTTTGTGTCGGCTATTAGGACTATGTCATCCGCGTATAGAAGGCTTTGTATGAGGACAGTTCTCAGATTCCACTTCCCAATTGTTGTCCACGCAGTTCGGCGTTTACAGATTTTGTGGATTTCATCCATTACATTTATAAATAGAAGGGGACTTAAGCTATCTCCCTGTCTAACTCCTCTCGCAATTGGAAAAGGTTCCGATTCCATACCGTTCATCCTTACCACTGCCATGGCTCCTTGATAGGCTGACTGTATGGCCGCCAGCAAGTCTCCAGGTACACCCTTGGCTATTAGGGCATTCCAAATTTCTTTTCTTGGAACCACATCAAACGCTGACTTCAGATCAAGGAACGCAAGATACAGATTTTTATCTCTGTCCCAAGCTTTTTCAGCAATATTTCTGAGAACAAAGATGTGATCCTGCGTCTGTCGGCCTGGACGAAAACCAGCCTGTTCCGCTTCTAACTGCCCTTCCACAATCCGTCGGAGTCTCCTTTCTAGTATGGAAGTATAAAGTTTATAGACCACTGATAGCAGACTAATGGGTCTATAATTTTTGCAATCTGTCGTGCATCCTTTTTTATAAATCGGGAGGATTATACAATATTCCCAGTCCATGGGAATTTTCTTTCTGTCATATACTTCTTGGAACAGCGATTGTAGTGCTTTAAGAAGTTCTTGACCACCGAATTTTAAATATTCTGGTGCGATTCCATCCCTTCCTGATGCCTTACCTCTTTTTAGCTTATGGATTGCATTTTCTATTTCTTCTTCCTCTATAACCTCCAGGCTTTCTTGAATATTGGGCTCTTGTTCTTGATAATGGTCTGTTTCTGGATTTTCGGAGAATTGTTCCTGGAAATATTCCTTCCATCTGCCAAGGATCTTTTCCTTGTCTGTAAGTAGGATTCCATCGCTACCTTTTACATTTCTAATAGGCTTGCATTGTTTTCCTCTTAACATCTTAACTTTTCGCCAAAATGTTCTTATAGATTCGCGGTGATCCTCGCTCAGCCTTTTACCAAACTCCTCCCACGACTTCTTCTTAGCCTGGCGTATGGCTACCTTACATTCATTCCTGGTTATTCGATATAAGTGTAGCTTTCCTTCAGTTCTATCCATAAGGTATGCTTTCCAGGCAAGCTTCTTCCGAGAAACCAGTCGTTGGAGATCATTGGTCCACCAGTCTGTCCGCTTTCCCTTGCGAGACACTCTCTTCTTCCCACAAACTGTATTTGCTGTTTCCAGAATACATATTTTCAGTGCCTTCCATATCTCTTCCACATCTCCATCGAATGACGTTCCCTTAATTTATTTTCCAGGCTTTCTGTAAAGAGGGCCCTTTTCTCTGGGTCATCCAAGGCTCTTACGTTGAGGGTTTCAAATACTTTTGTTTTCCTTTTATACTCCGGGATGATCTTTGTATCAGCCACAAGTAAAAGGTGGTCGCTGCTTATCTCCGCTCCTCTTACTACTTTTATGTCAGCGAAATACTGCCTTATGTTCCTATCATATATGAAATAGTCAATTATACTATTTCGTTCCATGCATGAGAAAGTGATTTTGTGGATTCTCTTGTGTGGATAGAAGGAATTTCCTATGAGGAAGTCATTATGCACGCAAAAGTCTATTAGCCGTTGTCCATTAGTATTCCTCACATTCTCACCTCCATGCAGCCCCAAAACTCCATATCCAGATCTTTCATCATTTCCTGTTCTGGCATTGAAGTCCCCACTCAGGATTACTGACCTTCCTTTTCCTTTAGCTTTATCTACTGTTTTTTGCAAATCCGAGTAGAATGCCTCCTTGTCTGCAACACTAGCATCTTCCGTTGGTGCATACACCTGGATTATGGAAATCTTACCTATGGTCATCTTAAAATCTGCTACAATCATTCTTGGAGATATCGGCTCCCAGTCCTCTAAATGATCATACATATTAGGCGACATTACTAGACCCACTCCCTCTTTGGCGAAAACCCCTCTAGGTACTCCAGCATAAATTAGGGAGTAATTATTAGCCAATTTCATTTCTCCACTGCCCTTTTTCTTCACTTCACTTATGCCGAGGATTTCTACTTTGTAGGTCCTCATTTCCTCCACCAGCTCGACCTCCTTCCCAGTTAAAGTTTTTATGTTCCACGTTCCAATTCGTATATCCCTTAGTGCGCCAGGTCGTTTCCTTGAAGACAGTCCACATCCGAGGCTAGTTGAATTGCTTTGAATCGTTGATTCTCCAGACGGGTGATTAGCCCATTAAGATTAAATTATGAAATGATGAAGTAAAGAAAAATTGTCTCCAGTTTTTTTTATTATCATCTATCATTTTTCATAAAAATAATTTTATTTAAATTCGAATTTTTTTAACAAACCTATAACCTGTAACTACAGTTAACCATTATCAGTAACAATCGGTAATAGTTAATAATAATAACCATTGTCAGTAATAATCAGTTGGCATGCATCGATGTTCGTACTGTGGACGCCGAACTTCCAAATCTATTGTCATTTTTTAATTTATTTATATTCCAGCCACTGCATAGGGCAAATTTATACACCAATTGCTGGAATTGAAGATTGACAAGAGATAAAGCGATTGCTAAAACGTTTTGAATTCCAACCCTCATTCCTTCCCTGTCTCTCCAATCATAGATTGATGAAGTTATTGTCTCGTATTTACAATCAACTGAATTTTGACGAATGTTTGTTTTAGATAAGTGATTTAACAATAATCTATTTATACAGACAAATTTGTTAGAATGTTATAACCACTTTTTTATAATTATCCATGTATCACACTGCCTTTGAAGAAT